CCAGAAAACCCTACCCAATGCTTTGGTTTCCAGCACTCACTGGCCATGAAATACCACCACAAAAGACCTGCTTCTCCTGTGGCAGTCAGAGAGGCCACCAGGGTGAGCAGGGAGGTGTCATAGCTATAGGTGGAAGATGCAGAAAACATCCCACAAAAAAGTGAAAGGCCCACACAGAGACTCTGAAGCAAGTTCTCAATAAGGTTCACATCCCACAGGGACTAAATAAACTAATCTTACATTGAAAACACATTGTTTTTTTTCTCTTCAGGCCATATACTTGCACTGAATGCAAGCCGTTGGGTTCCGAGATAAAATCAGTCATGGGCTTCCTTCAATACAGGTCAGCTCTCAGAATTATGACTTTCTGCCTTATTTTCTAACCAGCAGGACTTACTAGCATCAAGCAAGTGACAACACAAGTTCAAGGTCCCCAAAGGCAGCCCTGACATAGATTTCAACCCACGATGGCACCCGAGAGGATACCAATGACTCACAGCAGGACACGCTGCCATCAGGACTAGGGTGCAGAGTCCAGGCAAGGCACAGCCACACCAGTTCAAAGTACCTTCCACCCCTCGCCCACGAGGGCCAAGGCAGCCCACTGGCGGCACATCAAGCGCCAACTCAGCCACAGTGGCCACGAAAGCAGGTGCTGCCAGCATCACTGCGGGACACTGCCTGACCACAAGGAGAGCTGCCCTTCTCCCACAGAGGCAGAGTGTGAAAGGGGGAATAGCCACAGCCTCTCAGCAGCAACGAGCTACCCATCCATCCTGCCACAAACATTTCCACACACCAGCCATCTGACTCGGTTCCTAGAAAAAAAAAAAAAAAACAAACAAAAAACCCCACCAAAACTATGGGCTCAAAGGAGACATTTCTCAGATGGCTTCTTCTGGAATATTTCACTAAATTCTTTTTATGTTGTTGCTTTTAATTTATATTTTTATAACAGGGACTTTTCTACAGGGCAGCACATCAAGCCCCCACACATGCCAGTTAACCCCAAGAACAGGCACTGGCACCTGAGGAGCAAGAAGCTGCAGCACATCACCCTTTCCGCTGCCGTTTCCAGCACATCACCTAACGCAGGTGTGCTCCAGGTGACTGGCCTCACAGATCAGGCTGCAGCTTTGCTTCCAGGCCCCAACTACCCACCAGCTCCAAAGCTCTACCAAGCATCAAAGCTCGAGCAGAATGGAGACAGGTCCTCAAAACTAGAGCAACCTCTGTCACATGAACCTTTTCACTCTGAAGAAAAGCCTGAGCTATCCTTAATCATTTACCTACTAGAAAAAGGGAACCACTGCATTATTTTTTATAAAAGAGAAACTCTAGCCAAGGAGAATGCAAAAGCTAACAAGCAGTACATTGGGTCTGTCAACAAAAGAGTGCTTTAGAAGAATGTTGTCTGGTTATTTTGATCATTTAACCATGTTAGCTAATATTTTAAAATATGACTTACTCCAAAGACAGATTTGGATCACTGGTCTGAAAAGATGAAAGGTTACATTTCATTATCAGCCCTCAAATGTCAACCAGCAGCTCTTAAAGAGTATCCAGTACCCTCATAGTTTTACTTCTGTCCATTCTCTTTGATGCAATCTTAACTTTCTTGTAATGCGGTTGAAATTCATTCAGACTCATTTCTGTCATGTAGCTACAAGGAAAGTTTCCTTTATTGGACAAAAGTCCTTCTTGTCTTCTTACATTTGTGTAGCTACAAAAATAATATAAAGCACTTCACACTAAGCAGATAGTAAGCTGACGAAAGTTCATTTACTAAGCAAACTTATCCCCCTCTTCTAGCACTTAAGCTGAAGATTAAAGTCATACTATTGGTTTAAAAGCATAAACCTCTAAATAATGAGGCTGATATTACACAGATTCATTTTCAAGACAAGAGGAGTTAAAACGTAGCCAAAGGCTTAAATTTTAGTTTAGTTGCTCTGGACTCTTATTTCCATCTAATACCTATATCTCAAAACAGTAATTTCTAATAGCACTTGTCCAGCTAAGAAGTTCTGGTCCAGTTGCTCAGAAACACCCCACAACCTTCCAAATGTTAAGCTGTGGAAGTTTTGTGGGCATCCATTTATGCGTATAAGCTAGTAGATAAAAATACACTGAATGTAGGATTTTTGTGTATGCTTTCACAAAACCAGAAGACAAGCAGAATGACTGAAAGGTAGAAGGGAAATGTCTGTAGGTGACGTGGGAATCTGCATGCACTGTAGTAGTCAGTTGGTTAGTCACAGGAATATCTTCTGTCTGAAGGCATCCCACATCTCAGTTACAGATGGCAGCTGCTATTCCAGGGCCACACATATCCATGGCACTTATTATTATAATAAGGGGAATGGTTACTATTAATTTCTGACAGAAATTCCTCATAGTTTTACAAATTATACTGAGTCCCTTTCAAAGCTGAACTGTTGTGTAGCACTTCCATATACTGGAAGAGAAGACATCTTTCACACTAAAGCACAAGGGCCTAAAGTCTCTATAGAAAGGAGCTATTTATAAAACACTCTGTCCTGTCTGTTACTGCTATTTGAACAAAAATGACTGCAAGAACACTGCAACTCAGGTTTAAAATAATCTCTACAACCCCAAAAGACCTTTCCCCCCACCCAGTGCCAACGGCCTGCATGCATCCAGTTGACTTTTTTTTCCAAATACCTTGTGAAAATGCTGGACAACCTCCTTTCATTCCAGTCCAACTTTAATGTAAGCCCCTGCTTCCCCCACACCCATGTAATCAGCAATGTAATGCAGCAATGCACTTCCAGCAGTAATCAGAGAAATAAAAGTCACCCAGAGAAAAAGAACTAGGATGACCTTAAAGGCATGCCAGAGCAGAATGGTTATTTATACCTCATAACACCAGGCTCGTACCAGGAGTAAATGAAATTCACTCTAGTCACATTCTAAACCAAATCTACACAAGGTTTAACTGAACTGATGATTAGTAGTTCAGTGGAGCTAAGCACAGGAGCAATGTTTCAACCTTTTATTATTCCCGCCACTGTGTGCAAGTGTGCAAGGGCACGCACACAGGTTTTAAGGTGTTCCCAAGCACTTCTAGATATCACCATACTGCTTTGTTTTCTGTAAAAAAAAAATAAAAAATAAAAAAAGAATCTCAGTAGCACTCACGCATCCCCCTATTCAGTGCAAATGAGGACCAAAAGAAATGATGACTTTTCACTTCTGTATTTTAAAAGTTTCATTATTTCTCTTTCTGGCATATCACTAAAAGAAACAGGTGTTCTGAAAATGTACAATAAATTCTAGAGTTCAAGTCAGAAACAAAGAAACAGGGACATTTTCAGCATTTGGGAAAATGAAGCAAACTTAGTTACAAGCCAGTACACTTCTGCCTCAGCAGAACTGAGAGGACTGCTGAGGAGAAACAGTTGGGGGTGTTGGCTGATGAGAAGCTCAGCGTGACACAGCAATATCCAGAAAGCCAACTATCCTGGGCTGCATACAAAGAAGTTTGACCAGCAGGTCAAGTGGGTGTCTTCTCCCCCATTTACTCCCCTCTTGTGAGAGCCCACCTGGAGTCCTGCATTCAGCTCTGGGTCCCCCAATATAAGGTGGCTGTGGAGCTGTTGGAGGCCAGAGGAGAGCCCCAAAGATGATCAGAGGGCTGGGGCACCTCTCCTATGGAGACAGGCTGACAAAGCTGGGCTTGTTCAGCCTGGAGACGACTCCACGGAAACTTCAGAGCAGCCTTTCAGTCCCTAAAGGGGGCCTTAAAAGAAACCTGAAGGGGGGCTTTTCACAAGGGCAAGTGATAACAGGACAAGAGGGAATGGCTTCAAACTTAAAGAGGGTAGAGTTATGTTAGACATTAGGAAGAAGTTCGTTACTGTGCAGGTGGTGAGGCACTAGAACAGGTTGCCCACGGAAGCTGTGGACTACCCATCCCAGGAAGTGTTCAAGGCCAAGCTGGATGGGGCTTCGAGCAACCTAGTGGAAGGTGGCCCTGTCCAAGGCAGGAGTTGGAACTAGACGATATTCAAGATAACTGTCAACCCAAATCATTCTATGATTCTTTCCTTGTCTGTTTTCACAGAATCACAGAAAAGCCAAGTTATCCCAAACTGAAGTTAAGACAACGTAAGTGCAAATAAACTTCACTGGAAGTAAACCTGCAGTACACGTGTCCTCTCAATTTCTGATAAGAAAAAAAAAAACCAAAGCAAAACAAAAAAAAAGTTTGCTCTGCTCAGACTAAGCATCCCCTGTTTTATACCATAAACCCAATGCAGCAACGATAACCTCTTGAACTATAAGACGCTGGCATGAGTTAGACCATCGAAACTGCTTTGGGTATCTCATGAGCACAACCACCCAAATAATGGGATCCGAGGCAAACGCCGGCGCAAGGAGCAGGCAGGTGCTTCCGAAGCTCTTCCCACCACCTGAAACAATGCTCCAGAGTGAAGGCATGATCAAGGCTAGACCTTTTTGGTGGGGTACTCCCCGTGTTGCCGGTCCGCTCTCTCCGCAGCTGGGGAGAGCGACAGACAGCGAGGGGTGCAGCAGGTCTCCGGTCCCATAGCCGGGAAATGGAGCTCCGCTTGCAGCCACGGGGACGGTGCGAAGCGATCCCGGTGTCACAGCCAAGGGCCCGACCGGGATCCGTCAGCCAAACAGCCCGGCGCAGACCCAAGCAGGGCGGCGAGCTACACCGGAGCGGCGCAGGCAGTCCCGGCTCGACCTCCTCACCCGGACGCACCGGCAACGGCTGGCGAGCGGCTACCTATCGCGGGCGTCCCGCGCTGGTCAGCGCCAGCGCCTCCGCCATCCGGAGCGGGGCTGCGGGGACAGCCCAGCCGGGCTGCCTGAGCCGACACCCGCGGACAGCCAGGACACCGTACTGACGGGCGCCCGCGGAAACTTTGTCAGGTCTCACCAGCAGCTGCGAGGCGGGTCGATCCGGCCGGTCGCCGGTGCCTGCGGGCTAGCGCCCCGCGGCCCCTTACCTTGGATCGCTCCTTCACGTAGTACTTGCCGAGCCGGCTCCCGCAGTACATCACCAGCCGGTCTATCAGCGTGAGGAGGAAGTTGATGGCCTCGCAACCCTCCTCCGTGCCGCCGATCCACTTGATCTGGTCGCCGCGGAGGTGCCGCTTGGCCACGCCGCGGCTGGGGCCGGCCAGCTGCCCGTCAGCGAGCTCCCCGTCGCGATGCATCCGCTTCACCCGCTCCAGCACACAGTCCCCGACCACCTCCCCCAGGAAGTTGTCCAGGTAGCAGAAGCCGATGTCGTGCAAGCAGGGCACGACATACTCCAGGGCGATTCTCTCCAGGTCGAGCCTCATGATGTGCCCCAGCGGCATGGCGCGGCGGGGACGGACGGGCGCGCCGCTGCCCTGACGGCGCCCGCGTCGGGAGGCGATGCCCTCCGGGCCGCCGCGGACTCCAGCCCGAGCCAGACGGGAGCTCCGCCGCGGTGCGGGGCCAGGCGAAGTAAGGCGAGAGGAAAGTTTCTCCGCCGCGGCGGGCTGAGCTGCGCCCGTCCCGGCGGTGCTGCAGGAGCTCGAACAAGGTGCGGGAAGCTGAGCCGACGACCCCCGCCCACGACACAGCCGGGTCGGCAGATGGCCCCGCGCTGATTAATACGCCAGCTACGTGCGGGATGTGTGCTCGCTCCGCCGCACGTGGGTGGAGCCCGCCCGCGCGGCACAGAGCGGCACAGAGCGGCACAGCGCCGCGCAGCACGCACCGCCCCCTCCCCGCCCGCAGCCGGCCAGGACAGCCAATCGGCTGCTCCTGGGGGCGTGGCTATCCCGCGGGAGGGAACATGCGGCGGGGTTTTACACACGTGCGCTCGGGGGGCGGGGCCTGCGGTCCCGCGAGCCCCGCCTCCCCGGGGTGGGCGGGGCCAGCGCCATTGAGGAGTTGTACCATCGCATGTCGGCCCTGCAGCCCGCCGGGGCACCCGCACCCGCCTCGGGGTCCTGGGCCGGGCCAGGCGGGGTCTGTCGGCGCGCCCCGGAGCTCTCCCACCGCGTCTCGCTCCGCGGTGGCGGTTTGAGCACCTGGCGGAAGCATTTCGTTAGGCGGCAGGTACAGGTCTCCTGGGCCAGCAGTGCGCTGTTCTGTGAGACGTGTGTGTAATAAAGTCACGGTTCCCTGAGTTATTTCCCCTATTGCTGGCACCTCCCGGGCTGTCGGTGACTTCGTGCCGTGACAAACTTCATTCCGCGCTTCCAAGCGAAAACGCGTCTTTGCCCGGCGTTACCGGCTTTCGGTAACGCCGTCCCTGCACCAGCCGACCGCAGAGCACGATCCCGCTGCCGCTGTTCAGTCCGCCCCGGACTGAACGGCTTGCACTCAGCTCAAAATGCTTTCCGAAAAGTTAAAAGAACTGCCCAGCTCCGCTCACAGCACCCGACACGCCCGGGATTTGCTAAGCAAACAGACAAACCAACCAACCAAGTCTCCACAGAGACCAAAACTACAGCAATGCCACGTTACGGAGAGACGGTGTCCGCCGGCAAGCGGGGCTGGAAACCCAGCGGGACAGGGCATGGGGGGACGTGCCCGGAGGAGCCGTGTCGCAGGCTGGGTCGAGCGCCTGTCACGTCCCGGCAGAGCGGCCTGTCACGGCGCGGGAGTTACACGCGTCTCAGCTGGAACTCAGCACACTTCACCCCGTCCAGAATCCACGCTGAGTGTTCTCCCCGTCCAGCCACGAATCCCGCCGGGATTGCACGCAGCCCTGATGCTGCTTGAGCTGCGAACTGCCGACCCGGACACACGCAGGAGCGGGTCACGTATCCCACGTCTGTTCTGCTCGGGCTCTGCTGCGTGTGCCCCCCAGCACACAACACCAAGCACAGGTGGGGTCCTCCAAAATTACGCCCTGAGAACTCTATCGAGAGCCAAGCGATCAGATAAATTCATATGCGGTGAGATACAGATTGTCAAAGGACTTTATTCGATTTAGATACACACTTCACATTAAAGTGTGGTTATAATTAATAAGATACAATTCTGAATCTTATTAATCCCTTAAGGCTTCTCTGAAGAATCAGTCAGGCATGGTAAGCTAAGAGCAGCTGTAATAATCAGCAAGAGATGCAAGATTAGTTCAGCTGCACAATGTCAATGTTATGAAATTTAGATACATTAGGAAAGATTACGGCTGCATTGTTCTACCGTTCACACATTTTTGTCATGTAAAAGCCCTAAAATCCTTTGATTTTCTTGTTTTTTTTCCACCCTCTTGTTTACATGTACATGTGTGCACACAGCCCTGTGCCAGAATCAAGTATTTGTAGACTCTGAACATCGAGCCTTTTTATCAAATGTAATGCTGCCACTTTGGCAAGTCGAGGGCTGAGAGGGCTATCTTCTGGCTGTAGCTGAAGCTGGTCATTGCAGCTCTTTTTTTCTCCTTCTGATAGTCTTTTTGCATCAGGAAAAGCCACCTTAGAGAGAGTTGTGCCTTAGAAAGTCGAGTCCACAGCCTCACTTGCAGCATAATGTTCACAGAGTTGTGAATGTTTTTATTCCAAGAGCATCGGTAAGTTGTCTTCCTCAGGAGGGCTTCTTCTGCTACTCAGCAACGCAGGTTTTCTGGTGGACATTGTGCTTGTTTCCTTGAAGCACATCAGTGTTTTTCACACCTAGCATTTGCAGTATCAGTCAAATGCATTATGTTGCCATGTGAAGACAAAACACCAGGAGAAACAAGCCCCAAGAACAGTGATTTTATCTGCAGGTATTTAGTGGCGCTATTTTACTTCAGCTGTTTGCTCCCCCATGACTTTTGTGGGAAGCATGATGTTGATGAAGGTGCATAGTAGAGACTCTGACTGCTTAGGTCACGAACTCATTCTGGATAACGATATGGGAAATAATACTGGATGCAATATGTAAGCATGGAAAAAAGGTTTCTAACCTAAGCAATCACAATCTCTATCACACACCAACAACACCAAGAATGGCAAATTTCTGCCTAGCCCACAGGCACTCTGCAAGAGCTCTCTCAATCCCCTTAGGGGTACCAAAGCTGAGTGGAGAGATGCTGGGCTACAACTAGTAACTCCCAAATTAAGTCATGAACTTGCCAATGAAAAGGCAAAGTAATCCTTAGTGCATACTATCTTGCACAAGGACCACCCACAGAAGAAAATAAAGCAGGACCAGATACTGAACCTTCCTGAGCACTTCTTTTGCTCAGCCAACCACTCCACAGCTCCCCAAACAAAGCGATTGTGTAGCACATACAATATGAGTATTGCACAGGTCATGAATAGAAGCATGAAGGTGTGAAATAAGGCAATTCACAATGTCACCAACACCTTTGGACACCCACAAAGTTTGTTTATAGTGCTGTGTATCACGGGCATGAAAGGCGTCACCACATTTTAATTAAAAATCCTACATCATTCAATTATATATGAGCTATCCCTCTGCCATGTAAAGTTCTATTTATCCTTATACTGTAGAAACTTTTATTTTCCATTCTAAAATTAATTCTATATTTTCTCATTTCCCACTCTAGAATCTCATCTCCAAAACTTTTGATTCCTGCGTATCTGCTGCTTACACCTGCCTCCATGGTACATACCGATAGAGTTCAGTAGACTAAACCAGGACATTCTGCTGGCAGAATGATTTTAAGGAGGTTTGGTTTAGAGGACAAGGGTGATTGGTGTCAGTAAAACCTGAATACCTTACACACTAAAGCTTTTTTTTATTTCTTTTTGACAGCAGTGTTTACAGATGAACTGCTCCACACTGTTTAGGGCAGCAAGTTCTAGACATTTTGAGTCTTCTTTTCAGATTCTTCCGTTCAGAAAGCCAGACCCCTTCTGTGCAAAGAACTGAATTGCAAAGGACCTAGCAAGAGAAAGGGAAGAGGAGAAGATTATTCTTTATATCAGTGAGAAACTGAGAAATAGTATTTTTAACACCTCAGAATGTGATTCGTAGAGCTGATGTCTCACAGTCTGGTAAGACAATAACTGAAGTCCTGCCTACAGAAGGAAGTTTTCTGATGATGTGGGTATGGTTATACAACCGCTCTCACAGAGGGGCAGGCAACATTTGTAGGAGGGGTGACATACCAGCGCTAGAACACCTTGCCATGACTGCCTGAAATATTACTAACACACCTGTCCTTCCCACTCCTCTGCAGCATGGTTCATCCCCTCCTCTGCAGGGCTGACAGAAGGGAATGGATGGGTTTGCCTCAGCCACTTCAAAAGCACAAAGTGCAGAGCCTTAAACTCACCTTCACTGGGGGCTTAGCTTTACACAGAAGCAGCAGGGGCATCAGCACCTGTGCCTTTCCTCTGTCATCTGTGCAGGTAGCAACTCCTGGCATGTTTTGGTGTGGTGTCTCCTCTGACTACAACAGTGAGACTCACTAGAGCTCCTTTGTCAGCACCCTTAATATTATGTCATACTGAAAGCAGGTGTGAGAGCAAAGGTGCGTGTCATGGCTTGAGCTGATCTAGCAACTCTTTCAGCGCCTTTTCCCCCACACCCCTCTTTGCACTTGCTTTGGCACACTTTGGACTCCTCCACGGCCTATCCCATCTGCTAAGGTGGCAGAAAAGCAACCCTGAGAAAAACAATAGAGTCACTGTCTGCCAGGTCAGGGAGTTGAATGTCTTGGGTCAGGTCCAGTGAGATCTGCTGGAAAGATGGGAACCATCAGGACTGACCCCTTTGGGCAGGGGTGAACGATTTATTTGATAGCTGAGCCCTCACCAATGTCTTTCCTCCACTGCCACAGTCATCTGGCCTGTATCAGGGTTCAGAGTTACTTAACTTGTGATAAGACTTCAGGGTAGGCTTTGATTCAGCTTAAGATTTACTGAAGATTGCCTCGTTTGTAGTAGACTGTGAACGTGCGTTAACTGGTGCACCAGTATCTTCCAAATCCTAGTCTTGCAAAAAAACAACTCTATAAATGTTGTTAATACTAGGGGAACTCAGCTACCATTAGCCACAACTGTTTTCTCAAAGCTTTTCTAAAGCTTTCTAGGTGTAAAACTGGCCCTCTGGGAAGCAAGATTTCCAGCTTCCTGATGGGATTAAGTACCCCTGTCTTGTTACAGCAGTCCCCGAGATATGCTGAGACTTAAATTTGCAGCTTTTACTGGCTTGTCCTACATCTCTTCTGGAGGAATGAATGTTTGTGTCACGCTGTCAGCTGTTTGAAGAGCGTGGGGTGTTCAAAACTGTCCTGTAGGGAGTTAGCAAGTGAGCAGAATGCAAGTGGAGCAAAGTTGCATAGTAAATGCAATTAATGCATGGTCTGACAATATAGCATTTGGCAGTTAATTTCATGGCTATCAACTATCATACTATCAAGAACTTGGATCTAAGTATGGCTCTGAGGAAAAAAAAAGGCAACTGCTGAGGCTTTCATTATGTAAGCAGAGAAGTTCAATGTGGTAAGTAAATAGTGCAAACAAGGGAAAGGAGTAAGCTTTGCTAGTGTAGTATTTTTGTAAAAGATTCAAGGATTTTTAAATTAATAACTTTTTAAGAATCTGACTCTACAGACATTCTTATATTTCCATGTCTTAGAGAGGTTTCTGTTACCTTTTTATTTAGAATGCTAAATTAAGAGCTACTTCTAGGGCAAGTATTTACATTTGAAATTAAATAGCAAATTATCAGAAGTAACATTATGATTAGCTTAAAACTGATTTCTTTT